GAAATTTTATGAGGGGAGAGATCCTATCTGATTACTGTCTGTCTGAGCACTTTGCCCAGTGGTTGGCACAATGTAGGCCCTTAACAAAAACTTTGCAAAAACGATTGAGGTCCTAGAAGTGAAATTCCTGACAGATTTCACTTTATTTTTATATATCTTTTTCTAATTTTTCTGCAACAAACCTAGATTGCTTGTGTAATGAAAAAAATTATTTTCTTCTCATTTGATTTAAAGTGTAGGTGTCGAGGTCTAGAAAAGGATCAATTAGGCAGCTGCCATGATTCTCCTCAGGTCTGATAGCATAGGTACAGAAGCATATTGGGAATCACTTGTACAGTATCCCTTCCCAGGGAGGTAGTGTGGAGCTGGCCATAAATAGTGGAAGGAATAGAACCTTTAGCTGGAGGTTGAAAAATGAGTGCACAGTGGTCAAAGGCTCCCCTTGGATCGACCAGCTTCTATACCTTTAAATTAAGCAGGTCATCTGGCATGTCAGGTACAGAGGGCACTCAGGAATTTGAGGAGGAAGGACACCAAGTACCTTTTGTTAATGCTAAATCCACACCACCTAACACAATGACCAGGATAATTCTTTTTTTTTTTTTAATGAATGCATTTATGAGGCATGAATGAAAGAGACTGCTTGGCCAGCAATGAAGGCTGCTCTTACAAAGACACAGAAGGGAAGTGTGGGGCGAGACTTCTGAGGGATCTAATTGAACAGTTCGTTTTCCTAATTTCCTTTCCAAACTATGATAGGGATCCTAAGCTAGGAGATCAAAGCCCCTAGTGAAATGTGTGTGGATCTTGAATAAGATGATAGACAAACAATTCCACTTGAACTTGAAAAGGCCCCAGAGTTCGTGCACTTCAGTAACCAGAATAGTTGCCTTTGACATATTGCCAATTGTAAGGATACCAAATGATTGTATCAGTGACTTCTGTCTTCTCCTGGGACTTTTTAGAAAAGGTTCCTTGAGTCTATTAGAATGGTATGTTTCCTTTATTTACACTTTTATTCCCAAACACTAAATCTGTCCGTTATAACAAAGAAGTCACACACAGAGACAAAACCTTTTTATGAATTAAGGGCTAGGGAGGACTGATGTGGGATTGGCAGCAGGCAACAAATAGGACACAGCTGGATAAAGGGGCTAAAGTAGTGGAGAAAGGGCGGAGGGTGGGGGTAATGGTATGTTTAGCCCAGTCAGGTGGAGCGTGTGCATATGAGTCTGAAAGGAAGTGCAGGTACCAATCACAGGAACTGTGGCCTTTCCACAGAAGGTTAAATACAGCAGGCAGTTTGTAAGCTCCACCATTGCCTGTCTGTTCCCTGCTCCACCACCAGCACACACTGCAGGACCAGACACCACAGTCTGATATTTTCTGGTGAATGAATGAATGAGAAACAAGAGGATGAGCAGCGGTTTTCTGGGTTACAGGAGAGACCACATCAGTGTGTTGAGAGCTGACTTCTGATGGAAGGATGGGACGTATTGAAAAGGTTAATGTTTGTGACAGTGCACACCTGAGGTCCCATGTCTTAGAAAGGGCTCTGGTAGTGGGGAGAAAGTGAAAGAGTCCTTGTCCGTGAATGGAGTTAGATCAAGGGAAGAAGTCCCTGCGAAAATCTGCCAGAAGACACTCTGTGAGTCCTTCTGCACACATGGCGACCTGCAAAGCTCAGGCCCGTAGGTCTGGGAACTGAGAGGAAGGGCCAGGCAGAAGGGTGTTTGACTGATGTCTGTCTGTCTCTCCTGTTGGTTTTCAAGCAATGCTGGTGTTGGGATGGCCCATATATGAGGGAGAAGCAGCACAGATGCAGCCTCAGTAACAGTAGCCGGATGCGGGCAGATGGTGGTGGAAATGCTAAGAACAGATGCTCATTGGAGGGGTTAAGTATAGATGACAAACACACAGGACAGCAGGCAAAGGACATGCTGTAAACCACAAATTAGAAGATAGAAGATTGAAAAGACTTAATGCAAACCCAAGAGAGTTACGAGGGGAAGGAGTGTCCTGTCATGTTTGTTGCAAGCACCTTACAGTTGAAGAAAACCGAGTATATTAATTTTAATTTGATCAAGAAAGGGCTGGCATGACCTAAGGAAACTGTTTGCCAATAGAAGTAAAATATTACTATCACAAAATACAAAATGGGATTTTAACCATTTACAGGAGAGCAGTGAACCGAAGTACCTTTCCTGCCTGAATTGTCTTAGCTGTTTCTGAGTGAAAGATTTATCAATGAATATATTATAACTCTTCAGCCTCCTCCCACTACTGAACTATTTAAATACCAACTACTTTTAGTAAGTGCAAAAATATTACTTTTCAACCTTAGTGCACTGCCTTATGATGGAAACTTCTGTAAACAGAAAAAAATGTATTGGGTTATAAATGCATAATAGTGATAAGGCTAAGATACACAGAAAACAATTTCCTATTGAAATAATATGCTTACCTAGGATACATAAATATCCCTTCTGGTCTTTATCAGGGGAATAATAGGTTTGCTGAACTTAAGTACATTGATTCAACATGAATGAATGGTGTAAAACCATATTTCTGTGTATAAAGGAACATGATTACAATCAACTGCCCCCAATTATTTTTGGACTCCTCAGATGTTTGTAACTTGAATTTATTTTACTACTTGCAGCTTTACATAATATTTAATATTATGAAATCAGCCAAAATTTCAGGGATTCAGGAGCTAGTTGTTGAGTTTTAATGTATATGTGGGTTAGCGTGGTTCCGTGGTATTTGAACAATGGCTTTCTTGGGCACTGTTTGATTTGGTGGCACATTTGTGGTTGGTGAAGTGAGGAAGTGGATGGCAACTGATATCATCTGTTGTAGTTGTACTGTTTTGGTGGGTCAAATGCAGCCAGCATGAAGGTTTTTAAAAAACAAATTTTAGATGTCTACTTCTCTAGGTAAACAAATCCATAATCAAATCTTAGTTTTTGATTGGCATATTTATAATAGAAGCATAGAACTCATATGTCAAAAGGTCACATTTACACATCAAAAATTTTTCAGATTGTAACTTTTGACCAGCTCATAAGAGCTGTGAATGGCCATCCCTAAGTCTCCACTGGCTCAGTGAAGGTGTTATGGCTAGAACCTGGGTCTATAAAATTTCCTTGTATCATATTTGAATAACATTGTGAAACCACTCTTTATTTCCTCCTCTGAGGTGTGTAATCTTGAAGGATTTCTAAAAGGTTCTGTATGCAGTTTTGGGGTACATTCAAAAAGCATCCCAAATTGAGGCCTCCAGATGTTTCCCCACCCTACAGTAAATCAGAGAACAAGCATAATTTGAATATTCTGCATATATTTACATATCGATGTCAAGAGTCCCTAACTCCAATTATGTAAAATGAAACTAATTAGTGCAGCCTGCTGCAAAGCCCATATTCAAATCTAATATTCAGGGCAAGACAGCCTGGAAATACCTAGCACATCTTAACGCCAATTAGCTTGATTTCTTCTGGGAATAGGGGAGCTACAGATGTACCCACCTAGCTGCATCAAGAACATAGGTGCTCAAACATAGGGATCAGATTCAAGTTGATTTGTCCTAAGCTTCTGTTTTGTTCTCCTTCCCAGTGAAAATTGCAACTGCCTGTATTTACACACACTGCAAACATTCATGTTCTTGTCATGCTCCTGCGAGGACTGAGTGGCACGCTTTGTCTTTGGTGAGACTTCTTTCCTAAACGCGGAGCAGCAGACAGGAGCCCATGCACCTTCCTGGTGTGAGAATGACTACATTTTCCCAGCTCAGGCTGTGTGCTGCCCAGAGGCCCTCTTCCCTCCCTTCCCTGCCTTCAGAAAGCCTCCTACCCAGTCCTCAGCATCAGCATGGCCCACTCTAGGTACCTGAGGCTTTGTAAGCAGGCAGAGCTTTTTTAAAATTTCAAGTTTGTTAGGGTGGCTTTTGGTCAAGTTACTAACCTCCCTGAGGCTGGAATTTCCCAAGTTTGCGTAAAAAGACAAGGTGTTTCCTTTCTTTTGCCAGTTGCAAAGATTAAGTAAAATATTGCTAAGTGCCCAAAACATAGTATATACCAGAAAAACACATTACTTCCTTTCCTCCAAGACTCAGTCCAGGTGTTAATCAATGAAAAGTCTCAGTGAACTCAGGGGCATTCAGGCACCACCTGCCTTAACAATTATCTCCTTTCACATTATCTGGCATTTATTTGCTATTTCTGTCCGGAGGCCCTGACATACAGGAAGCCTCCTTCAGTGGCTCCTGGGCTCTGGACAGCAGTGGCTTGCAGGGGAGATGCATAGCAGCAGGTGGCTGGCTCAGAACTGGGGACACTGAAGTGGCAAACTGGGATGTCAGCTCCCACCTTGGTGTAATTTAGATTTACTTGAGAGTAGTTGGAAAAACTGATATAGTCTCAGCATTCATAAAAGAAAAAAATAAAATTAAAAAAAAAGATAAAACCATAAAATTAGACCCCAAACATTAAAGAAAAGGAAAAAAAAGAAAAAAAAAAAGGAAAAAAAAAAAAAAAAAAAAAAAAAAAAGAAAAAATAAAATAAACAAAAAAAAAAAACAAGGAAAAAATTGGTATCCCATCTCCATTGGTTAGCTGTTCCCCAACACAGACCACCTCTAAGTGGAGATAGGTTTAGGTATGTGAAATAGACTTCCAAAAATTATGTACCAACCTGTGTCCCCCAAGAGGCAAAGCAGTTTTGCCCCAGTTGGTCTAGACCAGTGGTCTCTAAACTGGCATGCAGTTTTTGAAATGCACAAGGTGATTGATAAGGTTGAGAAAAAAAAATGAAGCTTATATTATTAATTTTTATCTCATTCTTTAAAATTACCACTTGCATGTACTTATTACATATGAGATAGTGGAACACGTATGTTGTTAACAAATGCCCAGGTGTACATGGGGGTCTCCATTTTTGCGATCAGGTAACAGTGGTTTAGGTAAGTAACACAGCGTTCCCTCTCTGTTCCCAGGCTGTGCTTCAGTACCTGCTCCGCAGAGCCAACTTCAGCATGCTCAAGCGGAAGCAGAGCTCTAGGGTGGAGGCCCAGCCGGTTACTGACTTCGGTCCTGATGAGTCTCTGTCGGACAATGCTGACATACTCTGGATTAATAAGCCAGTAAGTGTCTTTTTTGAAGTATGGAGAAACACACGCTGGTATAGAGGAAATTTCATTCATATAATTCAAAAATCACATACCTTTAGCTTTGAAATGTTTGTCTGACCTGCAGTAGAATATGAATGAGCCTGAGAGTCTGAAAGTGGAGAACAATCCAGATGAAATACAGAGGAGCCCCGGTGAGGCACAGGGCAGCCAGGGTGGCCAGCTCCCTCTCTCCCGCTCTGTGCGTGCTGGCCTCCCAGTCCCTCAGCAGAGACATGATGCCCCTTCCCGGCTGATGCAAAGCTGGCGTCCCACATGAGTAATGTGCTCTACCAGGCCTCCTTTATGTACAGTTCTCAGCATGCGTGAGTGTGTGGGAGGTACTTGGATGCTTGGAAGTAAGTCTCCTTCTGAGTTGGAAATTTTGAGTGAAAGGAAAGGTTAATGAGATAGTGGATAGTGTCTCTGAGGAACTTTGTCACATTCTCTGCCTATTTAAGCTGATGGGAACTTGAGGGAAGGTCTTCTGTACCAAGGAGCATGGTGTCCTCAATAGCACAGCAGCCAGAAGGTGGATGGCATGTTCACAGGCCTGGAAACTCCGCTCTACAGCACAGAGTGGGCTCAACTTCCTTAGAAACTCAAAGGAGAAGCAGAAGCAGGGATATGAACTGTTACTCTCGCAGGACTTGTCTCTCCCTTGGCCGTGACGGAGTATCTGCCTGGACTTTCTGCCCTTTCCAGGCTCCTTCAGCTGAAGGCCCCTCCAGACTTCTCCAGCATGCTCAGATGTCTTTGTACGTGTCCATTTCTGTTCATATTCACCGTCCACTTGAGTCATCAAAACATCCCTGTTACCTACATTGCAGATTAAAATGTGTCAGTATTACAGTCAAGGCTCCTTACGTTCTGGCTTTAACTTGCTCAGCAGCTGCAGGTTCCTGTGTCCACACACTGTTCACTTGGACCTCATCAGTGATTTCCTGCTCCAAGGTATCAGCCATTTCAAATTGCTTCTCTTGCCCAGAGGCCCTGTCCCATCAACCCTAATGAGTCAAGTCCTCCTCATCATTAAGGCTGCTCAGATGTCACCCCACCCACAGTTCTCTGAACAACGCCTCATTTGACCAACCCTGTCCATCACAGATGGAATGAACCTCTTCTCTGTCCACTTATCCTATTTCTATTTAAGTGTCAATATATATTGTATATAAATATATATGTTATGCATACCAAATTGCAAAATAATGATGGATCAGAACCAGATTGTTCCCATTTTTGTTTCCTCAGAGCCCAGCATAATTTCTGACACATAGTAGGTCTTCCATTTATATTTACAGAATTGAATGGAAAAGACAATAAAGCATTTGCTAGCTTTTCTTACTGTCTGCTACATGCAGGGTTCTCCAAGAATTTCTGAAGAAGTAGCCTTGGAAGCACTCACTAAAATGATTAATGCTGAATTATAATTCTTTCTCTGAATTCAAACAGATTTCTTGTGGAAGAACCTATCTTTTGAAACTTCTGTGCAATTAGATCCTCTGTGTCGGAGGTCCAGATGGGGCTAAATTCATACACTGATGTTCATTGAAGTGCTTGCAAATTGCATGAAAAAGACATCAACCCTTAAAATAAATTTAATCATCAGTGACTTACGTGGTGTGGAGTTAACAGCATTATGTCTTCATGCAAATATTATAACTGTCAGATTAATATTATAACCCACTCACCAGCCTACGAGCATCTGAATCTCAAAATTCCAACAACCTTTTCTATTTTTCATTTGGAGCGCTTGCTTGCTTACATAGCTGCAGAACTCACCCACTATGAAATGAAAACATCTTTTTCTGGGGGTGTATAATATTAAAAGATGAACTTAACTGAATAAATATCCAGTATAGTCAATAAATAACATGTTTAAATTATGTTTAAGAATTGCATACTCATTAACTAGTAATATTAATTGTGTGGGTTTACATGCAGATGCAATTAGTATTATTTATTCTGGGTTTTGATTTTTATAATAAAATATCGTATGTGAGTGATTGGCCTATTCATACACACAGGTATACACACACATGCATGCACATTTATCTTTTAAGTTTCTAACTCATGTTGGAGTAAAGGAAAACCTTTAAATAGTATATGCAGTGCTAGAATTGTACAGAAACTTATTTTCTGAGTTTTGGAAGAGATAATGAGCTAAATTTGTACAAAACATGTCCTCCAAAACAAAGAGGAAACTCCATTTATTTATTATCTTTCAAAAATATAGGACAAGATGGATCTTAAAAAATATTTTTTATACAAGGATGTTACTTATAAGATACAAAGACAACCCTACATGTAGGTAGTAGTATATAGAAATTAATTTTATAAAGCAATTGTGATCTACTAGGACAGGCCACTGTTGCTAGATACCCAGGAAATTACACTAAATATAATATGATCCCTGATTCTAGGTGTTCATAGTACATAAAAGTATAAAAGTAATAGTACATCAAGTTTCTATATGAATAAGTTACTGATATTTACTTTAATTGAATCAGGATCTCCTGGTATAATGGCCTGTTACCCGGGAAAGTATCAGAGGCACTGGAGTAAGCCTGACGGGGCTTTGCTCCTAAATGCAGGATCACAGAAAAGTCTTTGAACCTTCCTGAGTCTTAGTGTGTCCATGTGGAAATTCGGCCTGCTTGGACTATTAAATGATGTGAAATACGTGAAAGTACTTTGCACATTCTGTGCACTTCATAGGTGTTGATTTCCTTCTTCCTCTTTTCCATACTGGTGAAATATTTTAATCTCAGTGTTATGTTTTCCAAATACTGTAGTTCATAAGATAAATTTAAGACACCACTTTTTGGGGTCGAGTACTAACTCTGGGCCGTTTTTGCAGTGGGTTCACTCTTTGCTGCGCATCTGTGCCATCATCAGCGTCATTTCCGTCTGCATGAACACTCCCATGACGTTCGAGCACTACCCTCCTCTTCAGTATGTGACTTTTGCTCTGGATACTTTACTGATGTTTCTCTACACCGCAGAGATGATCGCGAAAATGCACATACGGGGAATTGTCAAGGTGAGCGTTCCCATGTCATTGAAACTGATGACCAGAATGCACTGAAAATCTTAATCAGTTTAATAACATTTTCATATTAATTTCAGTAAAACAAAACATCTCTCATATCTACATGGAAGTCCTTTTTAAAAGGGCGTAAATTCCAATTGGTGGAAATACAATGCATAAAAGGGTTTAAAAAGTTAAATAAATTGTGCAAGGCGCAGTCTTGGACTCCCTGGCAAGGAGCTAGATGGCCCTGCGAAGGGCTCCGTGAAGGCCAGGGTACAGTCTGTTATGCCTCCTAGGGGCGAACCCACGAGCTGGCGCAACGACCAGCCCCAGCAAGGCCCCGGTGGACTTGCAGAATGCAGAATGAATGTTACCTGGTACAGTTACACATGGTGATACCCCGAGGTATTTTGAAGATACAAAGGAGTAGGGAAGGGCAGGAGGTGGAAAGGCGTTGTAGGCTGTAAGAAAAGAAAGATGTAGCATGAAATTGGCACCACTGGTAGACAAAAAAAAAAAAAGAAAAGAAAAATAAAAGGAAGAGCATTTCTATCCTGATGTATTTCCTCCTTCCACAGAACCTTCTGGCCTTCTACTGATCTTCCCAGAGGTTAGAAATATGTACACAGTGCTGGCTCTAAAGTATTAGATTGTACTATTTAGGGAGCCAGTGGTGTAATAATGTAGCAGAACGGACATTAACCTCTACCAAGTGACAGATTTAGCTCAAATCCTAGCTCTTGCATTTACTGGCTGTTACAGCATCTCAAGTTAGGTAATTTTGGTGGATAGCGCCTTATTCTATACAAGGATTTCAAGAATTTAATAATGTGATGCATAACATGAAGTTACGGGTCAACTTCCTGTCTTCTCTATACATAATTCATTGTATTCTATCCTAAAAGAGAAAGATCACAGTCAATGCATAATTCTTTTCATTTTTAACTTATTTAAAAACTTTTTATTATGGAGATATTTGAATTTACACAAAAGTAGAGACTATAATTGGCATGAATCCCTATAACTCAATATCAAGTTATTGATATTTAGCCAGTTCCATTTCATTTTAAAGGAAATCTGAGAAATCAGGTCATTTCAGAAATAACACATTATGCTTTGTTGATAAATTTTCCTTTTTTTAAAATAATGATCACGCCAGTATTGCATCTAGCAAAATTAGCAATAATTCCTTAATTTTTGTAGGCTAATACCCAATCCATATTCATATTCCCCAGTGGTCTCAAATATTTCCTTTTAGAGTGAGCCTTTTTGAAACAGGGCTCAAATAAGCTTCACAAAATGTATTTGTTATTATTTTAAATCTTATTTAAGTCTCTTTAAGTCCATCAGTTCTCAGCCCCACATACCCTGTAAAAAAATCTCTCATGTTATTGATCCCTTAGGAAATGAGGTTTTGTTTTACAGAATGTTCTGCATTCAGGTTCGGCTAATTGCTTGCTGGTGGTTCCATTTAATAGTTTCTGTATTCTCCACATTCCCTGCACTGTTTTGACTGTGGACCAGTGATGTACACAGATGCCTCTTACCCTATGCGCTCACCATAAAATAGGTGGTCAAACATTTGGGTATTTGCCAATCTGATGAGCAACTCTGTGTTGTTTGAATTTGCATTTCCCTTTTAAGAGTGAGGTTGAACCTGATTCTGTTTATATAAAGGTCATTTTCAAGTTTTTTTTCATCCTAGTTTGGGGCACTCAGTGTGTATTAGGAATATTAGCCCTTTGCAGCATAGGTTGCAATTACTTTTTCCCATCTGTCATTTTGCCCAGGCTCTGATCTTGGTGATTGATGCCACACACACGTCTTCCTGTCCCAGATCATGGGCTTGTCTTTCCTCCTATCAAGTCTACTGTGTGTCTTACAGGAGTGTTTTATTGTTTTCCTCACATAGATGGTGCACATTTTTATCTTTTTGCCATCTGTATGGGTTCTTATCTTTTATTACGTATCCTAATTTACTGTTTTTTTTTAAGTGAAGGCTCTTGATTTCTAATTCTAGTATTGTTTATACTTTTTCCATGAATTCTTCTGGTATTGCCATATCATCATATCATATACGAATAAAAGGCAGATGTATTTATTCTTTTGCCAATTCTTCTGCCTCTAATTGCTTTCACTCATTTAAATTGGGTTGGCTAATACAGCCCACTAAATTTTAAATAGTATTAGAGGCTGTGAACATCTTTGTTTAGCTCCTGGTTTATTTAGAACACCTCCAATGTTTTCTCATTAAGTAATTTGAACGATTTGAGTTTGAAGCATCTGTTTTTTTAATGAAGTCAAGAGAATAAACATTAATCCCAATTTTTGCAAATCATTTCATAACTATCTTTTAAATTGTGTTGAAGAATTATTTTCTTCCTTAGCTCTTGGTGTATTTCCTAATATTGAACCATTCTTACATTCCTGGAAACTCAGCTGAGTTATGGCACATTTTTAGTCTGTTTTAATGTGCTATTTGTTTATGTCTGTTGTTATTTTCCTTGTACTTATGTCTCATTTTCATTAAGTTTTGATATTGTATTTTGTGCGTGTGTGTGTGTGCGCACATGTGCATGCACTCCTGTGGTCTACAATAGTCTCAGTAATCTTGAAATTGCTTAAACTTTAAAAGTTTGGTAGAAATCCCCTGTGATAGCATCTGGTTTTACTGCTTTTTTGGTAGGACTGCCTTCTATTTCTATTTCTTCTATGGACATTAGTCTGTTTAGGGGTGGTCTTTAGGGGTGTACGGTGAGCTGTATTTTCTTAGGAAATTATCCACTATTTGGTGTATTATATGGTTGCTTAAAATAATTTTAATCTCCCCACTTTAATTAGTATTTTCTCCTGATTTCGAATTTTTGTTATTTTTGACTTGAGTTTCTTCTGGTTGACTAGTATTGCTTCTGTATAGTCCAGCTTGGCTAGTATTGTTTTTGTTTGCTTTGTCTCATTTCATTTCTTTTTCAGTTAGCCAATAAGTTTATTTTGTTGATTTTTAAAAAGAATTAGCTTGTGTATTCATTTGTTTATTCATCCTAACTTACTAATTTTTGCTTTTATCTTTATTAATTTCTTCCTTTACTTGGTTTACTTTTTTGTTCAGTTTCTAGATTTTTGAAGGTGTTTCACATTTTCATTCCTAGAGATTCTTAAACATGCTGTTTCATTGTCCTGTGGATATAAATGTTGCTGCTGAGAATATGTTTTTTTCTTCTATGTGATTTGATCTTTTCTCTGAAATACTGAAAGAGTCTTTCCCTTTATTGTTAAAGTCTGTGGTTCTATGAGAACATGTGCTTTTGTTAACTGTTTTGGGCATATTTCACTAGTACCTCATGTGACATGTATTTTATTTCATTCTGTGTTGTTTTTCTTTAGTATTCCTTTTACATTCCAGTTACACCAGGATCTATGCTTTGATCTTTTATTTCCATCGTCTTCTTTAAATATCTTTTCTTTTTCTCCCCCCATTTTTTTCTGTCTTCCTCATTGTTGTTACTTATAGGAATGGGAGTTTCTCCTGCATAAAGGGAAACCCTTTCTTGCTCTTCTTGGCTTTTGGTGGCTTCTGGGAATCCTTGGACATCCTTGCAGCCCACAGCTCCATCACTCCAGTATCTGCTGCCGTCTTCATGGGGCCTTCCTCCCCATTCTGAGCCCGTGTGTCCTCTCCTCTTCTTGAAGGACACCAGTCACTGGATCTAGGGCCCACCCTAATCCAGTATGATGTCAAGTTGACTAATTACATCTTTGTAAGGCCTATTTCCAAATAAGGTCACATTCTGAGGTTCTGAGTGGGCATGGATTTTGCAGGGACACTACTCAGCTCACTACAGAATCAGTATCACCTAGCCATTCGACCAGTCAGCTGCTTGCCACTCTCAGGTATTGTTAAGTAGCTTTGGAAAAGGCCTTCAGAAGTTTGTGGGGTGATTCATAAAAAACTGGAGCAGAAATACGAAAGGAGAAATTCACTTCAGTATTGGAATTGAGCCTCAAAGGAACCATCAAAACCACAGCAATCCTGTTGTTTTTAAAAACATTTTAGAAAGAAGAGGAAACTAGGGACACAGGAGTGAACAGATAGCATCTAACAGTGAGCTGGTAAGCGCAGAGACTCACCATGAGCCTGTCAGGAGTGCAGTGAGCACGGGCCCCAGGAAAGGTGGCGTGTCTGTGACATGATCCACCTCCCACTGGGAAAAGGGTTTGTTCGTGGAAGCAGTGGGCACCCGCCATGCCTCACCCAGTGGATTTCAGCATGATTTCAGAATTGTCTGGGTCTTCCACAAAGTTGATAGGCCTGTTATTTTAAGCATTAGGTTGAGAGATGTCCAGGTTCTGAAAATTGGTAGCTAAACCAGGAGGTCAGCTTGGAGGGGAGTTGATCTTGTGAGACTGCTTGAGGTATCTTCTTTGCCACTGTAACTTTGCTCCCCAACACAGCCTGTCTGGTGTGATACCCCAGATGGCCTTGGATGACCCTGGCACTGTGTTCATTGGTCATTCAGAAAATGGCAATCCTTAATATTCTGGATGGAGCACTTTGGGAATGAAAACACCTTGTGTTGACTTCTTTAAGATTCCTACTTGAATGAACAAAGTCACATTTTCCTAGAATAAAAGTTTTGTTCTTTAATTATTTACTAAACTGAGACTTGAATTTCACATCATAAAAATGACAGTAGGCATCCTTTAATTGTCCCTGTCTAATGATGAAAATAATAGAAGTGGACTTGATACTTAATTTCTGTATTTATGCCAAGTAAACAGAGCATTGAATGGACAGAGGTTTTAATAGTTCAAGTATTGGAAGTCAAAGCTGTTGTTAAAAAGGAAAACATCTGATGTGTGACTAGATGTTTTCAGAATGCTATAAATGAGCCATTTCCAGTATTTTCTGACTTCTGTCAACATTTAGATGATGAGTTATTTACTATAACTAAAAATGTTTTTCTTATTTTTAGTTTGTAAGCTTGAAAATTGAAAGTTAATATCAAATA